AATGAGTTAAAGATTATATAAGCGTAATAATTCATCTGTAAACCTAAAAATGTACAGCCAATTTTGAAAGAGATGTACCCTAGCTCAGAAAAATGTTATTGAATAGGTTAAGGCTGTTGTAATGAAACATTTCTTCTAATTAAAAAAAAAATATTTTAGTGAAAAAAAAATAAATAAAAAACCAAAGTAACTAAAAGATGAAAGATGATTAGGTATCATAAAATTGTAAAATCAGAAGTCTATTTAGAATGGTGTTAACAAAAATATTATATAAGCCACATATGTAATTTAAAAGTTCATTGTAGTCACATTAAAAAAGCAGCAAATGAAAAAAAAAAATATTTTAGTGAAAAAAAAATAAATAAAAAACCAAAGTAACTTCTAAAAAAAAGATGATTAGGTATCATAAAATTGTAAAATCAGAAGTCTATTTAGAATGGTGTTAACAAAAATATTATATAAGCCACATATGTAATTTAAAAGTTCATTGTAGTCACATTAAAAAAGCAAAAAGAAGCAAATGAAATTATCACTTCAATGTGTGACAAACATCAAAAGTTAGTAATAAATTTCATATTCTTTTTGGAAATGAAACTTAAAATGTAATATGTACTTTATACTTACAGATCATTTAAATTCTGAAGCTTAGTAGATAGATGTAACATGCACCCCACTAGCTATCAGTAGCACACTCCCCTCTCTTGGTACAGCAAAAACTGTCACTGGTAATTGCCAAATGTACCCAAGGTTGAGGGCGGGGAATATTGTCCTCAGTTAAGAAGCAGAGGCCTAGAAAAACTGAAAAAAATATATCCTTGGAATGAATCTTGGGAACTTCTAAAAGAGAATTTTCATTTTAGAAGCTAATAGTATAGTCACCAAACTGTCACAGGAATAGGAGCAGGAGGAGGAGCAGGAGGGAGAGAAGGAGGAGGAGGAGGAAGGGGGGGGAGAAAACAAGAAGCTTCTTCACATCCATAAATCTTATTTTGGACCCCAACCCACACCAGAAAATGCTGGCGCAGCACCTTGGCAGCTGATATCAACATGTAATTATTTCAAGAATCCCAAGGTTCTTGACTTTGAAAATAAACCACTGTTGGGTTATGACATGTACCAGACAGTTCCTCTGAATTCAGGTTGCTGGGGACAAACAATGCTGCTAAATTCTAGAACTGTTTACTTTTTTTTTTAAAAAAAAAAGCATTTAATAGTCAAATTAATGAGCAATAGATTTCAACTTTTGGGCAAGCTAATCTTCAAAAATCTCTTTTAATCACCAAGACCTCAGTTCACTGAAGCCCCAATTACATGTGATATTTCCAAAGCAATTCATTTTTCATACATTGAAAAAACTCAGAAGAAACAAAATCACAGCAGATATTTATTCAAGGGAGAAAACAAACAAAAAAGAACTATGGTAGAAGGAGGAACTAAATCAAGAGAATTTCTTGGGGGTTCTTGACATTTATTTAAATCTTACCTACTTGTGCCTATTCAGAATGTTGATCCCACCACCACTAGGTACTAGGGGATCCTAAATAATCAGAAAATTGCTATAATTTCCATTCTACTTCACGGTATTCTTAAAGTTGATTATCAAGAGTTAAAAGCTAAAAGGTTCTGGTTGCCTCTTGGTAAATGAGAGTGTTAAACTAACCAGGAGTTTGCTCACCCCAAGTGTTTGGATTTTGGGAAGATGTATTGTAATTGGCTGAGAGCTTTTTAGGATAATGGGTCAAACCACTGAGTGTGGAAAGCTGGCAGCAACCTATATATGTCTATGTATCTGCCCATGGACATTTGGGACTACTGGTATAAGAGGAATCTTTCCAGTGGTTCCGGCAGGCCTAGCTGGCAGATGGTTTGATGACATGCTCGGCCCAAGCACTTCCGGACAAACAGGCGACAGAGCTGGGAAAGAGCAGGTGGACCTAAGAGAGAAAATAAAAACGTTATATGAGCCTTATGGTAGGGTACAGACAAGATCTGAAAACTGGAAGCTTAGTTGAATGTGTATAGGAATTACCAAATGAGGTTGTAAATGCTAAATACGGGCAGGGGATTCTGAGTTGCTCTTTTGGAGGGAAAGCACTTTAAGTTGATCCCTCTGTAGTGATTGTATTATCAACATGGAACAATGAAGCTATCCACCAGCATGTTAGGAATGAAGTGTGGATCTATAAGGAGTGCATCTTATTTGCTATTGCCTATGGTGCTCGAAGTGATTTGCTGTGGGACGTTAAAATACAAATGAAAGAACTGAGGCTGTAGAACTTCAGGACGGTGGGACAACTGCAGAGAGGGTGTCAGCAAGGAAGGGTGGACCTATATGCTCACAGAGGCTGTGCTAGGAGATAGATCATGGGCTAAATAGCCCTTCAAGTCCTTCTCAGCCTCCCAGTATTAGCTGTATGACAGATGTGGTAGTCCAGGCTAAGTTCTAACCTCATCTCTGGAGGAGCCCTCTGTTCTCACAAGGATTCCACCTCAATAGATCACTTAGATCCCATTATTCCCTGAACTTCAGTCTCATGGAATCTCATGGAGTCATTGTGTCCATGACTTTGAGAAGTTTTGAATCCTTCAGGAAAATAAGTTGAGAAGAGTTCAAAATATTGTTGAATGGGATGAATGAGCTTTTGCTGGACTACTACTTATAAAGGGGTGTTTATGGCCTGGAGAGATGGCTCAGCAGGTAAGAACACTGGCTGTTCTTGCAGAAGACCTGGATTCGAATTCTAGCACCAACATAATGGCTAACAACCATCCATAATTCCAGTTCCAGGGGATCCAATGCTTTCTTCTGTCATCTGCGGGCATTGCATGACACGAGTGCACTTACACACATGCAGATGTAACACTTGTACACATAAAATAAAAATAAATAAATCAAAAGGGGGCATTTATATTATCCTATTATTCCTTATGTGACCAACAGTGAAGACTTCCCCAAAGAGAGCTAATTACTTACTGGCCTATACAAACTTTCATTGTAAGAAAAGCCTACTGGGGCTGGAGAGATGGCTCAGCAATCAAAAACACTGGTTGTTCTTGCAGAAGACCCGGGTTCAAATCCCAGCACCCGTATGGCAGCTAACAACTGTCCATAACTCCAGTCCCAGGGGATCCAACAGCCTCTTCTTGGGCATTGCATGACATTTGCCTGCATGTAGGTAAGTGCACCCATGTCATGCTGTAACATAATAGTGAACATTATGAAAAAGAGAAGATTGCATATGAAATTGGCCAGGTGATACTTAGGATTGACATTGACATGGACCATCCTTGTGATAGCAATTCACAATCACCCTTAGTTAAAATCTTGGGGATTGAGAATAGAAAGGGTCCCTACCAGGTGCCTTTTGCATCTGGTGCCAGAATTAGAATTAAAAACAAAGTAGTTGATCTGCTTTATAAAATGGTAATGCATTCAGAGACACTGAAGTGAACTCTGATGTAGCTGATACTTACGTTTGTAGAACTAATGCTTGTATTTAAGAAGATAGAGGATGGAGGAACTTGCGTATAAGAATATAAACCCTAGACCTGAAAAAATTCTTGATGTAATAAACAGAAAATGTGCAAACTCTTATCATATATATTCTTAGCTAACAGTTGCAAATATTCTTTTTTCTTTTTTTGTGGTCTTTTTGAGACAGGGTCTCAAATGGGCCTCTGGTAAGGAAGATCATAATCCTTTCAGGGGAAATTGAAATAAAGGAGCACTCATTAACAACCTAGACATTGGGAATGATCTGGGACAGTGTTGCTTCAAGTGTGATCCTTGGAGAACAGCAATAGTAGCAGCAGCATCTCTTGGAACTCTGGTAGATATGCAGAGCTTACAGCCCCAATCAGATCACCTCGATCAAAATCTATATTTTAAATTTTAATGAGGTTCCCAAGTGATGTACATATAGCATGAGCTCTAAAGCACTAATACAGAGAAAGTATTCCCAAAACAATAAATTAAGCATTCCATTTGGGATGTAGAACACGGGAGTAGTTTCGTAAAATAGAACTAGTGAGTGACATGAGATCCCACCCTTTTCCTACTGAAAAGATTCAGGATTTGGGTCTTGGAGCATTAAGAATACTTGTTCTAACCCTGGCGTAGTGGTGCACACTTTAATCCCAGCCCTTGGGAGGCAGGGCAGGAGGCTCTCTGAGATCGAGGCCAGTCTGGTCTACAAAAGCTATAAAGTATGTTTCAGTCCAGCTGGGGCTACAGGGAGACTGTGTCTCAAAAAGACAAAAAAAAAAAGTAAAAACTTTTTTTAAAATTTTAAAAAGAATGCTTGTTCTGGGGTCAGGCAGCTTGCTTGGCATCTTTTCGCTACTTCTGAGGAGCTGTGGATCCTTTGGAAGCCAGTCCCTCCGTACTTCAATTTTCTCATCTGTAGCCAGAATACCATGACTTTCTATAAGGTTCTCAGTGATTTTTAAGTTTGAAGAATTCATTGCGATTAATCTGTTTTAAAGTTATCTCCATGCTGACCCTTGTAAAACTGAATCATTATAATTACCTTTAATTTTCTCCCCAGTGCACAAATGATCAGTGAAAGCTCAGAAAATGCTCTTTCACTATACAGACATCCAGATGGTTCTCTTTGGAGCTGGAGATATGAGTAAGATATTCCACTGGAGATGATATTCCACGTACTTTTCATCCCCAGCATCTATCATTGCTCTTAATACCAATGGTAGAAGTCAGAGTGGGGGAATGTGGAACGCAAACGCACCTATTCCCCTGATCTGTAGAAGTGAACCACTTCACCATTTAGTCAGCTTTTGGCAATACATCCTCTGTCACCCCTACTGTCCTAACCCAAAATCATGCGTCACTTAACCATGAGGTTAATTCTAGTAAAAGCATCAGTAGGCAATCTCAGCACTGTATGAACACCATAGAATGTACTTTTACAAGCTAAGCTGGCTATGATGCCACTAGGTGACCCAATCTTAGGTGACCACAAGGCATTGTTGATGGCCCTTCCACAGTGTGACTGTATTTCAAGTTTGCCCATCAATTGCCTCTCAGCATTCCAAAGCAGAGGTTTGGTTTGTTCAATTGTGTGCTTTTTCTAGGATCAACAAGGCTGTTCAACGATTTCTTGGGTGAAATCAAGGTTATCTGCTTATTTTCTTGTAGTTGGAAAATAAAAGCAACAAGTTGGTTGTATGTAGATGTAACAATAAACACTGTGTTAAAAATATCCTAGAAGACATTGAAATCTATTCAGGGCTTTCCCCTTCCCTCAATACACCCTCAAGTAAAAAGAGAAAAAAGAAAAGGAAAATAGTCTAGGGATGAGATGGCAGTGGGTTTAGGGGAGAGAAGCAGATACTCCGCCTTTCTTACCTTCATGGAGCAGGAGTGCCTTCTCCACGTTGCTTTTGGGAGCAGCAAGATCAAGTGCGCTTTTTCCCTGAGCATTTCTGAGAGTTAGGTTAGCCCCATACTCAGTGAGCAGGTGGATGACCTCCACATTGGACTGTTTTGTTGCAGCATGCAAAGGGGTGTCTAGCCACTGGCCATGATCAACACTGGCTCCTTAATAAAGCAGATGGACATAACCCAATACTGAGTGTGAATGTAAGACCCAATGAGTTCTTGTACATAAAACATCTTAAATGCCCTGGTGTATTTGACCAGTCTTCGAGAATACTCCCAGAATCTCAGCAATGCCTATGACAGCTATTCTAAGACAGTTTGGTGAGAAAAGTGAAGACAGCTGCTTTCAGTCCTTTTAAATATTTGTTTACTTTCCCACACCAAATATATAACAAACAAATCATTTGAAGTTCCAGTAACATGGTCATTTTCTTTGAGGGCAAAATATAAAGTGAAATGTATTTAGTATTTATATTATTTAGGGCTCAAAAAGAGATTTCTGAAATCAATGTAGAAAATGGTAAATGATAGGTATAAAACAACGAAAACATCTTGGACATACATTTTTCAACTAAAGGTTCTTACTACAACTTCCACATTTATATCCACAGCTAAATACGTTAAATCATTAACCAAATGATAGTTTCAAGGCATTTTACTTTTCCCCAGAATAGTAGTTTTGGAGTATGCCATTAAAAATTTTTTAATGAATAATTTAACAGGAGTGTAAAATCGTCTGCAGCAAATGCCCAGACATTCCCGGTAGCTATATCTAGTTGCTCTCTAGGGAACCATCTTCTTGCAATTCTCAGTTCTTGTGCCCCTAGTGAAGCCTAGTAACTGTAGAGTAAACTGAAACCCAGCCCTAAGCCCATCCATATCTTGTATTCCCTTCGTCACCATGATTGGTTCAGAGATGGGCGTGTGACTCAAAGAAAGTCAACGTTACTTCTTGTTATAAGCCCAAGTGTTGCTGATAGCCCTCTTGGCACCACCAGGGAGAATAATGCTAAATACATGAAGCCAACATCAAAGGAAGCAGAATTAAGAAACAGGTAAACAGTTCTCTAGAGAAACTCTGCATTTAGCACTCAAATATCCAATGCAATCAGAATTTTTTCTAGTCTGATAAGAATGTCATCTTTGGAACCATAAAAATCCAATAAGTCTAGCACGCTGTTATCATATAAAATTTCTGATAGATACCTAGTTCTAGAAGTTTCTTCACACAATCAATTCTCTGGAAGGTACATGCCACATATAGGGGTGTTCCCAGGTGAGGCACCTCTTGGTCGATGTTAACATTATTTGCCAGCAGAATCTCCATGCATTCTCTGTGACCTGTATAAGAAAATCTCACTGACATAGGGAGACACTGGATAGTCCCAGAATTACAGAATTGTTTATCTGGAATAGGCTTTAGAAATAACCAAGACTTTTCTTCTGTATTAGAAAAAAAAACAAACAAACATTTTGCTTGTTTGGGAAATCCTAAGTAGAAAATCTGCAAAATAAAACCACTAAAAA